GACATTTGTCTTTCTCTGATTTACTTCACTAAGTATAATATTCTCTAGGTCCATTTATGTTGCTGCAAATGGCAATATTTCATTTTTTATGGCTGAGTAATATCTCATCTTGTGTGTGTGTGTGTGTATATACCACATTTCTTAAGCCAATCATCTGTTGATGGGTACTTGAGTTGTTTCTATGTCTTAGCTATTGCAAATAGTGCTGTTATGAACATTGGGGTGCATGTATCTTTTCAAATTAGAGGTTTCATCTTTTCTGGATATGTGTCCAGGGGTGAGATCTTATGGTAGCTCTATTTTTAATGTTTTAAGGAACCTTCTTACTGTTTTCCATAGTGTCTGCACCGATTTACATTCCCAACAAAAGGGTAGGAGGGTTCCGTTTTCTCCGCATCCTCTCCAGCATTTGTTTTTGTCGACTTTTTAATGATAGACATTCTGACTGGCGTGAGGTGATACCTCATTGTGGTTTTGATTTGCTCTTCTCTAATAGCGATGTTGCACTGGCTGAGGCAGTGTTTGTAGAGTTTCTCCACTGTAAGTCACTTTTATCTACTTCCCATATTTTAATAATTGGAACAAAGTCATTAAATACAGCCCGCACTAAAAGGGTTGGGAGTTTTAAGTCCACTTCCTTGAGGAAGAATAACTACTTAAACTATTTGGAATTCTTCTGTATGTAGGATTTGTCTGTTCTCCCTTATTTATTTTTTCAGTAATTTATTTACTTCAGTATGGACTTATGGATATTTATTTTATATTTTGAAGTATAATCTAAGAGTACATTATTTATTATTATTATTTTTTGCTCAAATTATTCCAGGTTTGGAATCTGAAGCCCTTTCAGGTTGGTTTCCATGTCCCACTGACATGGCCTCATCCTTCTGTTTCTTTGATTATTTTCTCACTTTCTAGCAATGGAAGATGCTCCAGATTAATACTGTGTAATTCCTGACCTAGCCCTTGGACCAGTCATTTCTCCAAAGAGCTCTGGCTCCTTTTCTGGAGAATTATATAAGAAACCAAGATCAAGGTACTCTGATTTTGTCTCATGTTTTGTTTCCTGAGTTGGATAGCCAGCCATATCGATACCACACCAAACTTCTTTCCACTTATTACATTTTTCACTCCTGCCTAGGACTGTATTTGTGCTTTGTTCTTTGTATGGGATTTAATGGCACTACTATAGCCAAAACCTGAACTGGATATAATGTCAGTGCCCTATTTCTTGCCCTACACCACTGCCCATGCTGAGCCTTACCAACAAAACTAGGCTGGCTTCCCCATTCTTGACTATATCTTCCTGAGTTTCATCCATTTTTTTCCTCAGTTCATTTGTCTTCTCTATAAGTCCAAATTATGACTGAGTTCCAACAGCTTCAAGTTAGAGCCCTTCTGTACAGTAACAAGCAGTAATGTCATCATTATGGGGCCTGTCTACAGGTAGAGGATTTTGGAAAAGATACACAGATAAAGTTATTCTGCAAACACAACCATTAAGAAAGTCCTTACTGATAGCTTTGACCCAATTTATAGGAATTATAGATCTATGCACTAGTTGTTTCTCTAGGCATGGGAAGTTCTCTGAATAATAGTGTTTTCTAAAGGTTGAAACAAAATTTGAAGCAGCAAATCAAAATAATAAGTTAGTTGATAATGCTCTTAAAATTTTTGGTTTACTTTTCTTCTGTTATAACTTCATATGAATTATAGTCAGTAGATTTAAAAAATTAAATACATCCAATAAGAGTGATGATACCCAATGGAAACTTAAAATTCATTCAAGGATTAAATTATTACCAACATGCCCTTTGAGAAGTTTCATGAAGTATTAAAGGACACAGCTAATGTTTTTGTGGATGGCTATCAGAACAGGGCAGAGTTGTCTTTTTGGTTCACATAATGAAAAAATTAATGCATCCTATCCTTTACCATAAGATTATTTACCTGGAATTCTCTATAGTTTAAGAAGCTGCAGTAACAAAATTTTTCAAAGTCACTTAAGACTTTCCCCTTGAATATATTTATTAGCCATCATTTTGTTCCAAATTTTTTTCTTTTCTTTTCTAAAAAGAGGTATATTGATTTTGCCTAAATCAGTCAACTTTAGTGAAAAGAAAGGTGACCATACACATATGACATGTACAGTGGTTGTCTCACAGAAGGGCATACTTCAGTTAAGTGCCATTGCTGAAATTAGGTCAAGATATTCAAAATTCAATGATATAATCTAGTTCCTTATTTAATAAATTAGACATTTCAAATAATAGTCATAACTCAATTTTAAAAGAGATAATTTACTTTTATTTGCTGGGTCTTTGGTATTTTCCTCCTCCTCTCGGGTAACCACAATGATGAACTCTGGTTACATTTCAATAGATATATTTTACATAGTGCCTGTAGTGGCCCATAGGAAGAATGTACAGAAGCAGAAAACATAAGGTGATGAAATGAAGATTTCATCTCTTCCAAAATTATAAAGAAGTTTCTCACTAAGTTGTTTGAATACAAACGGTGGTTAGTACCATGAGTTCAGATTCCAATTCAGATTCCCAATCTAGTCCCCTTCACTTACCAGCTTTGTGACTTTGGGCAAGTTACTTAACCTCTCATCTAGCAAATGGAACCAATGCAAATGCAAGTAGTTTCATAGGATTGTGTTATCCTTTATAGGAGCTTAAATGAAAAGCATTTACCACAGGCCCAGTACATAGAAAGTGTTCAGTTCAGATGAGGTATGATGATTAATTAATTATTTTTTTTTTGCGGTACGCGGGCCTCTCACTGTTGTGGCCTCTCCCGTTGCGGAGCATAGGCTCCGGACGCGCAGGCTCAGCGGCCATGGCTCACGGGCCTAGTCGCTCCGCGGCATGTGGGATCTTCCCAGACCAGGGCACGAACCCATGTCCCCTGCATCGGCAGACGGACTCTCAACCACTGCGCCACCAGGAAAGCCCAATGATTAATATTATATGTCAATTTTACTGGGCCGCCAGGTGCTCAGATATTTAGTCAAATATTTTTCTAAGTATCTCTGATTTTGGATGAGACTAACATTTAAATAGGTAGTAAAATAGGTTGCCCTCCCCAATGTGACTGGGCCTCATCCAGTCAGTTGAGAGCCTGAATAAGACAAAATGCTTGACCCTCCCCCCAAGTAAAATAAAATTCTTCCTACTTGGTACATCCTGCATTTGAACCCTAACTGAAACATCAGCCTTTCCTGGGTCTCCAACCTGTCTGCTTTTGGACAAGAACTATACCATCCACTCTCCTGGTTGCAGCCCTTTGGACTCAGACTGAATCTGCACCATTAGCTCTCCTGGGTCTCCATCTTGCAGACTTACTCTGTCGATCTTGGTACTTTTCAGCCTCCATAATCATGTGAGCAAATTTCTCAGAATAAATCTCTTAAAGGGTAAAATAGAGGGGGAAAAAAATGCTGAGGTTTTAAAAAAGTCCAAGTGTGCTAATTTCTATGATGTTCCCTTCAGTTGTCATTCTTCCCTCCTATGTTGACCTGTCAGTGTCACACAGTCATTAAAGTGCAGGCAGTGTTGGTGTAAATTTATAATTGGCATAATCCTTATTGCTGACATGTCAATATTTAACTTGCATTAACCTTTCCTTTGAGGCTGACAAATTGTGCATCTGTGGCTTGTTCAGTCTAATTTTTCATGTCATTGCCTTGCAAAGCATACAGATTTATAATGTCACTGTGTGATGGATGCAGGTCTCTCCTCTGCCTTGGAGAAGGGTTTCAACCCACTTAGATGATCCATTGGTTATTTATTTATTTTCACTTCCACCCACCACCTATTTTAACAGGCTGTCAGTGAATTTACCTCCCCAAGGCCCATAGTTTGAGGACGAACGGAGGGGTACCCCTGTCAGGAGTCATTAACATGCTGCTGCTAAGGCACCTACACATTGTTCTGGCCTGTCTCACGCAGAGCAGCCTTCATCTGTGTGTGCATGTTGTCGCTAAGAATTTGTTGACAGAAAATGAAGACGGGTGAAAGAAAATTAGGTCAGAATAGTGTGTGGGAGACAAAGTGACGTTCTTGTCAGTTTTACCTAATCTCCTAGAACAGAGCGACCAGAGTTATAATTTCTCTAGGATGTGGGCAGCTGAGACTTAAACTCAATCATTTCTGTCTTTTTTTAAAAAAATTTAATGTTATTCCCTTTCCCCACTCCCCACAGGCTTTGACTGAGAAAAGTGGACAAGTATCCAAGAATTCTTATTTGAAACTCTTGGACCTGAATGCTAAGGATTTGGGACTAAAGGGGATTTGGAGGGCTGAGTCATCCCATAGGTGTTCAAAGACAGGTTTATGTAAAGATCAAAAAGGATGGCTTGCGAGCAAACATTTCCTCCAAGTTTCACAATACTATATAATGCTAAGCCACTCTCTCCACTTCACTGGACTATTTTAGAACAGTGGAGTTATCCAATCTTCCTCCAGCAAGTCTAGTACCTTTATTTAAAGCTATCTAGGATAAAGATGGGATATACCCAGACCGTATATTTAGGAATGGATAGTTATTTTAATTTACATTTTATAGAATGTTTGAAAAAAACCCAAAGGAACTGACACTGAAATTTCATCTCAGTTCAGCAAAGTATTATTTACACAAGCGCTATTAAAATGGAGCAATCATTGGTCTATTTCTTAGATCCTCAATTAAATTCTCACATATTTAGAATATCTTGAATGATTTATGGAAATTAAAATGGTTAATACCTGTGCTTGAAATAACGCTCCTTCTATCCTTCTAATTGATCACTTGCATGTGGGTCTTAAGAACCCCAAAGCAAAACTGATATCATGTCTTTAATTATTGCATAAAATGTTAGTTTTGTACCTCAATTTCCAAGCAACCACACATCACATAAACAAAGCTAATAAAGTCAAAGGCACAAAGAGTGGCCCCAGATTAATCCTTGTCAATGCTAAGACTATGTCAACAATCATATTTACAGTTAGGTTTTATTTTATTGTAATGAATCATGATACATTTATTTACCAAACAGAGACAGCCATTCCAAGCAAGGAAGAAAACACATAAACAAATTAGAACTATATTATGTTTTTATTCTTTTTCCCTTAGTCATGAAATCTGCTCTTCAAGCATTAACACTAGTGTCTATGGAAGCCCAATACATAAAATAGGTAAAAGCAGAAAAACTTTAGCTGTAGTAAGGACTATGTTCTAAGCCCAACTCACAAACATGCCCTGTGTCCAACCAAGTTCTTCCATGGTCTCTATATCATGCAGAATTTTAAAACTCCGAATTCCATAAGTGAGAAATTTGTGACTAGAGAATGTTGAGTTGCCTGATATGTACTTTAACTAGCAGAACTAGAACTAGAAATCAGATCTCCTAACTTCTAATCTATTAGTATTTTCAGTAGAACAGGTCAGGAAACTTTCATGCTGTCACAATTTCTTTTATTTATTCAACCCAAAATTTAATATGCATCTTTTATGTATTAGACACTATTCTAGGGGCCAAGGATATGAAAATTTTCAATAGAAAATTCTTACCTTCATACAGTTTACATTTTAGTAAAAGAAACAAGCAATAAATACATCATTATGCAATATAATGTTGATGCTTTATAACACAGTAAGAAAAATGGAAAAGGTAACAAGGCATGTAACTTTTTGATAAGGTTGCAAGGGAAGGTGTTTTAGAAGCAGAAGTATTTGAGGAGAAACTTGAATGGGATAAGAGAATGAGTTGTGGGGAGAATATTTAAGGCATAATGAATAACTGGTGCAAATGTCCTCAGTTAGGTGTGTTTTGGGCACACTTAAGAGCAGCCAAAAGGGTAGAGGGTCTAGAATGCAATGAGTCAGGGGTGAGGAGTAGGGAGGAGACTAGATTGGAGAGGGAGCTCTGGAGGTCATGGAGATAATTTCAGATTTATTTGAATCTTTTGGAAAACCATTTGATAGTTTGAATTCAGTCTGTGGCACGTTGTGGCTTTCGTTCTTGAAAATAATTATTCTCTACTTTCATTCTTCTGCCATGTAGCTGTTCAGTTTTCCCAGCAGCACTAATTGAAGAGACTGTCTTTTCTCCATTGTGTATCTCTCTACTGGATAAAGGATGAAACATAGGGAAGTAAAATCAGAAACACTTATATGTACTAACAAAGAATAATGCTACATTTTTAGTGTTTATATAATATCTTCTCCCTAAAGTCATTCTACACAGTTAATTGAATTCCTACAATTATTCTGAGATATAAGAAAACACACAGTATTAATTCCATTTAACAGATTGGAAGCTGAGCTTGTAAAGTAAGACATCAAGTAGTCATATTTCAAGAACAGAGCTTTATCAACCACACAATAATGACTATTTTACACTGCATTGGAGGGTGGGGGAGGTAGGCAAGAGAGAGCGATAAGCTTCTACTTAGAAGAGAAAGGGAAGATCAGTTGCTTTTTAATTCATTCAGTACTTATTTATCATATATCATGTGTCAGGCACTGCATTAGGCACTGGGGATACAGAGGTGGAAAAAGTCAATTCCTGACCTAACAAAGTCTGCTCTAGGATATAATAATGACCTTTAGTCTTTTTGCCTTTTATTACATGCTTGCTAATTTAGAAGTAGCTCATGCTTCAATCTCCTAATAATCCATAGATAATGAAATTAAAGAGCAGAAAAACTAAACTATTTATACAAGGTCACTCAGTGTGCAATTTGTGAGCTTCAGGAGGATTCAAGCCCAGGTTTAACCCCAAAGTCTGTTCTCTTAACTATATGCTTCTTCACCTCTTTTAAACACTCTACATGTTTAAATGTCTCTTGCATTGCTCCCTCAGTTTTTTTTTTTTTTGGTTTATAGTTATTTTATTATCTTGCTGCTTCTTTATTAATAACACAGATCTCAATTAATGTTTAGCATATTTAATTTACTATCACTCTAGCTACAAAGTATTTGTGCATTGTAATAATTTTTCCTTTTTTTAATTTCAAAATAAGTATTTTTTCCCCCTTGATAAACCTTTATAAAATATCCAAACAATTCAGGGAGCATGAAAGACTCTCTTTAATCCCATGTCCACTTCTTAAGGCACATCATCATAGAATATTAAAATATACTCCCTCAGTTTTTTAAAATTTCTTTTCTTATTTTTTGCTTATCTTGGCATGTGAACTGTTGACACCTATCAAATGAGTTGGTAGATACAGAACTTCAATGGCCTCGAGCTCATGTAGGTAAATGAGATACAGAGCACTGCATATACTGAGTATACTGAGCAGTCATCAAAGCCAAAATCATACACACACATGCACACACACACACATGCACACACACTGGTGTATTGTTAATAGCACTGCCCCTATCCAAATCAATAGCTTTTCTTCAATTTCATAGGTAGTCCTTTTCTCACAATCTCCTGCTTCTGTGTCTCCAGAAGTTTTAGAAAACCTGAGAGTAAAGTAATGTCAGTTCCTCAGTTCTCTAGTTTTCCAAAGTACACAGAGGATACATTAGTATATACTGGCAGGACAAAGTTAAGTTTCAAATTTAATCAAAGTCTTCATAACTCAGAGTATGTAACTTCCCTTCTCACCAGCAAGGACTGGGCTGTTGAGAATTCTATATGGCTTTTGGGAGACACGCATTTAAGAACATAAACTCTGGTAGGTCTGTGTCTTTATTCCTGTCTTACCCCTAGGTTCCTCATGACATTTTTTTTGGACTTGAGGATATAGGGAGGGGGAAGGGTAAGCTGTGACAAAGCGAGAGAGAGGCATGGACATATATACACTACCAAACGTAAGGTAGATAGCTAGTGGGAAGCAGCCGCATAGCACAGGGAGATCAGCTCGGTGCTTTGTGACCGCCTGGAGGGGTGGGATAGGGAGGGTGGGAGGGAGGGAGACGCAGGAGGGAAGAGATAGGGGGACATATGTATATGTATAACTGATTCACTTTGTTATAAAGCAGAAATTAACACACCATTGTAAAGCAATTATACTCCAATAAAAATGTAAAAAAAAAAAAAGAACATAAACTCTGAACGTGAGTTTAAATGCCAGGTACACTGCTTGTGGGTAAACAATTTAACATTACTGTGCTTCACTTTCATCATTGGTCAATAGAAATAATAATAGTGACTACCTTACAAAGTTGTTTTGAAAACTTAGTGAGTTAATAAAGGGAAATAGTAAGTGCTGTTTAAGCGATTACTATTATTTAATCTCAAACCTCAAAGGTTTCGACAGAAAATTGAGTTGTTTTGGTCATGGAAATTTTTTTTTAACATTTTTATTGGAGTATAATTGCTTTACACTGGTGTGTTAGTTTCTGCTCTATAACAAAGTGAATCAGCTGTACATATACAGATATCCCTATATCTCCTCCCTCTTGCGTCTCCCTCCCACTATCCCTATACCACCCCGCTAGGTTGTCAAAAAGCATGGAGTTTATCTCCCTGTGCTATGCGGCTGCTTCCCACTAGCTACCTATTTTACATTTAGTAGTGTATCTATGTCCATGCTACTCTTTCACTTCGTCCCAGATTATGCTTCCCCCTCCCCATGTCCTCAAGCCCACTCTCTAAGTCTTCGTCTTTGTACCTGTCCTGCCCCTAGGTTCTTCAGAACCATTTTTCTTTTCTTTTCTTTTTTTTTAGATTCCATATATATGTGCTAGCAAACGTTATTTGTTTTTCTATTTGTGACTCACTTCACCATATATGACAGTCTCTAGGTCCATCCACCTCACTACAAATAACTCAATTTCATTTCTATATATGGCTGAGTAATATTCCATTGTATATATGTGCCACATCTTTATTCATCTGTCGATGGACACTTACGTTGCTTCCATGTCCAGACTATGGTAAACAGAGCTGCAATGAACATTGGGGTATTTGACTATTTTTGAATTATGGTTTTCTCAGGGTATATGCCCAGTAGTAGGATTTTTGGGTTGTATGGTAGTTCTATTTTTAGTTTTTTAAGGATCCTCCATACTGTTCTCCATAGTGGCTGTATCAATTTACATTCCCACCAACAGTGCAAGAGTGTTCACTTTTCTCCACACCGTCTCCAGCATTTATTGTTTCTGAGAAACATATATATGTGTGTGTGTGTGTGTGTGTGTGTGTGTGTGTGTGTGTGTGTGTGTGTGTATATATATATGTGTAGAGAGAGAGAGAAGTTGATCTAAGGAGATTGGGAGTCAGGGAAGAATTGTTTTTTGTTTGTTTGTGTCTTTGTTATATGGAGATATGAGTGATCCAGTAGACAGRGATATGTTATGATACAGGAAAGGGAGGGGCACTTTCAAGAGTGATTCTTTGAGTAGGGGTGCTTCACACAGGTGGTTGAATTGCCTTTAGGAGTACAGTGAGTTCATCCATCAGAATAGGAGGGGAGTAAGAGCAATGGGCCAGGCTGGTAGCTTGATCATAGGATTCTGTGCAAGTCCTCTTCAGATTTTCTCTATGTTTTCTGAATTACGAAGCAGTCAAAAATTGAGAAGGAGAGAGCATGTGTTGGAGGATTGGAGATTTAACACCCTCTTGATACACAGGAGACTGAAGGACAGGAAAATTAACCAGTGCTAAACAGCTACCTCCTTTGAATAGTCACGGATGTAAAATGAGATATATTAGTACACATATGCGTTTTTCTCCAATCACATTCAGCTGCTCCTATGCAGGTATTGACTGTGGCGAGGAGTTGGAATTTAATGAGGGTTAGGGGCTCATCAGATGAAGAAAAGAGGGGAAATGGAGTTGAAGGCCTATGTAAAGTATTGCTTTTATTGATGAATTATGAAGGGAGAAGTAAAGGAGATAAGGAACAATGAGAAAGTAGATTGGTGATTTCAAGTGGGTATAGAAATCGATGGCGACAAACAAGCCAGAGGAAGAGAAATGGAAATATAGGAGGTGATAGTTGAAGAATGAAATCATTAAAATTTAAGTGTGGAGAGGTCAAAATTATTGGTAACATCTGGGTTATGAGCATGAGAATAGATGACTATTCCCCTTACATTCCTTAAAGCATTTAAAATTTCACAATCTTCATAGAATTTCAAGTCCTATAAGAATTGGTTGGGCAGCTTTTTTCTTAAAATTTTTTTTTGCACAGTGCTTTTTAAGAATTTTTCAAATTTCAGTATAAAAATTGTAACTTTTCCAATCAGTCAAGAGATTCATTATTCAGTATGGTAGTCAATGGCAACATGTGGCTATCTAAATTTTAATTTTAATTGATTAAAATTAAATACAATTTAAAATTCACTTCCCCAGTCTCATTAACCACATTTGAAAATCTCCAGAGCCACATGTGGCTAATCACTACTCTTTTGGGCCATGCAAATAAGAAAAATTTTTATCATCATAGAAAGTTCTATTGAATAATGTTATTCTAAAGTTTTGCTTCATATTATTCCAATGTTAAACAATTCTGGTACAGAAAAGAAATTAAATTTTGCCTTGTAACCACCTGATCAGTTTTGCTAGACACAGAAATTATCTGACAACTACTATGTTACCACAACTGCTTAGATACCATATGTTTTATGGCATCTATGAAATAGGTAGATCATTGCCATGGCTACTGAATTACATAATATGAGCTAATGAGAAGTAACTCACTAGTAAAAGGCAACACAAAAGATGTGTTTGATTAAAGCCACTGTTTTCCATATGTTCTCTTTTGTCAAAGATCCTAGTTATTTTGGAGTATGGGGAGTTTGTGATTCAAGCCACTAACCCTTATTATGATGGTGTGCCCCTCTAACCTTCAAATCAAACCCATGACATGGCTCAAAATGGGGACTAATATACAGATGGGGAAAACCAATGATTCTTTTAAAACCTTGAAGCTAGCAATTTACTTCCAGGCTTACTTCTTTTGGAAGAAAATGGATGAACAAATAAGCAATCATTTTCTCTTGAGTGAAGGTAAGGTCAGCTAAACATCTGCTTTATTCTAGCCACGTGGCACAATTTTCAGAGGAAATTACTATGGCTGTAACCAGAATGTCAGAAAGGCTCACTGTTCAGCTTCAGTGGATGTTGTGCTCATTTGATGGAATTTTGCTTTCTGTGGCATCTAAACATATATTAAAAACACACACCAGAGAAGGAAAGGGAAGGGAAGATCAAGAGCTAGGAAATAAATATGGATGAACTCTTACTCTGTATCATATCTGCATGGGATGGTTAAATTATATCAGGTCGCTTAATGTTCACACCAATTATTTGGTGTATGTTTTGTTTTCAAAACAGTTTTACAGATGAAGGTACTCAGAAACATTAAGATCAAGTAACTAGCTCATGTTCTCAGAATTGATGATGGCTGGAGGATGGAGATCTTCCTGGCTCTAAAAAGCTGTCATTATGTATAACAAAGTTAAATATCACTTGCTGAATTTTCTGAGTATCTCTGGGAACACTGAGTAGATTGCTTCATTTGACCATTTAGACAAAGAACCAACCACATTAGAAATGTTGTGAAAATGCAATAAGAAGGGACATGTACAGAGAAATGCCAGTGAGGGAGGAATCAAAGGTTTATACTCCTAGTCATGTATCAGATTGTTTTCCTTAAAAAAAGAATTTTTTGGAAATTCTATTTAATTTGATGGGTTAGATATTTTAACCAACGTTTTGATAAATTATAACCTCTCAGGGAGGTTAAGGCAAAATACAGTTACACTAAATGAGTACCTACTGCTATAAAATGGTTTTAGAATAGAATCAACTCTGTCAACTTCTATAACTGTTAAAAAATTCCTTATATAACAATTGTTACTTGTTTTTTGCAAAAAAAATCCTTATATAACAATTGTTACTTGTTTTTTTCCCTATCAGTCTAACGAAAGTTTTGTCAGTTTTGTTCTTTTCAAATAACCAACTTTTGTTTGTAGATTTTTGTCTACTATTTTTCTATCCTATATTTCACTCCTTTCTATCTCATCTTTTAAAAATTTTCTTCCTTCTGATTGCTTTGACTTCAGTTTGCTCTTAGTTTCTAGTTTCTTGAGTCTGAAGTTTAGGCTATTGATCTGAGATATTTCTTCCTTTTAGATGTGGACATTTACAGTTATAAGTTTCCCTCCAAGTTCTGTTTTAGCTGGACTCCATACATTTGGTATATTGTAATTTCTTCTTTGACTATTAATCATTTAGGAGTGTAATGTTTAATTTCCATATATTTGTGAATTTCTGAAATTTCTTTCTGTTATTTATTTCTATCTTATTCCATTGTGGTCAGAGCACATAAAAACTATTCCAAAACACAGAAGAGGCAGAAATACTCCACAACTCTTTTTATCAAGCCAGTATAAGTTTGGTACCAAAAACAGGAAAAGATATCACAGGAAAACTACAATCCATTTTTGTTACAAATATAATATAAATATCCTTAATACACCAAATATAGCAACATATAACAGTGATAATATATTATAATAAGTTAGGCTTTATACCAAGAATTCAAGGTTGGTAAAACATTAAAAAAGTGGGGCAGTGTAATATGGTATATTAACAGAATCAAGGCCAAAAACAAGATGATCATCTAAATAGATGCAAGAAATCATTTCACAATATCCAAAACCTTTCATAATAAAAACACCCAACAGATTATGAATAGAAGAAAATTCCCACAATCTGATAAAGACCGTCTTTGAAAACACCACAGATAACATTACACTTAATGGTGAAAGTCTAAATGCTGTCCCCTAATGTCAGGAACAAGACAAAGATGTCTGCTGTGGTCACTTCAGAAATATATGGGAGGTTATAGGTAAGGCAATTAGACAAAAATGAAATAAAAGACATTCAGATTTGAAAAGAAGTAAAACTATCTCTATTCACAGATGACACATCTAGTATATAGGAAATCCTAAGAAATGATCATAGATCTAAATGTAACCGCTAAAACTATAAAACACTTAAAATACAGGAATAAGTCTTTTGGCATTGGATTTGGTAGTTCTTTCTCAGATATGACACCAAAAGCACAAGCAACAAAAGAAAAAAATAAATCAGACTTTATCAAAATTAATAATTTTCAAATTCACAGAACACTATCAAGAAAATTAAAAGACAACCACAGAATTGTAGAAAATATTTACAAATTACATATCTGATAAGTATCTAGTATCCTTATTATACAAAAAATTATTAAAGATGCACAAATAACCCGGTTAAAAAATGAACAAAAGATTTGAATACATATTTTTCCAAAGAAGATACAAAATAACAATAAACACATAAAAAGATGCTCAAAATTATTAGCCATTAAGAAAATGCAAAACAAAACCACAATGAGATATCACTTCCTACCCAGTAGGAAATCTATTGGAAGACTCATACATTCCTGGTGAGGATGTATAGTAGTGCAGCTGTTTGATAAACAGTTCGGCATTTCCTCTAAAATGATAAAAATAGTTTCCATATGACTCAGATATTCCATTTTTAGATGTATACTCAATAAAATTGGAAACATATGTCCACACAAAAACTTACATGAATGTTCATATCAGCATTGCTCATATTAGCTAAAAATGGAAGCAACTCAAAAGTCCATCAACTGATTAATAAATAAGTGAAATGTGGCATATTTGTACAACGGAATATTATTTGACCATAAAAAAGAATGAAACACTGATAGATACTAAAACAGGTATAAACCTTGAAATATTATGCTAAATGAAAGAAGCCAGACAGAAAGGCCACTTATTATATGACATCATTTATATGAACTGTCCAGAATAGGTAAATGTAAAGTAAGATTCATTAGATTAGTAATTATCAGGGACTGTGGGAAAGAAAAATGAGGATTAACTACTAAAGAATCCAGTGTTTCTTTTGGAGTGATGAAAATATTCTAAAGTTAGATGGTGAAGATCCTTGCACAATTCTGTGGATATACTAATTTACCTCTGAACTATATAGGATAAATTTATAAGGTTAAATAAATTTTATTCCAATAAAGATGCTACTAAAAATAAAAGAAGTTTGAGCTCATACTTTTTTTGTCAAGGGATAATTTCCTGACAAATCCCTACTGGATCTTTCTGCAGGAATCAGTTCAAAATACCCTCCTTCTTTGTGTATACTTCTTCCAACACTCAGCATTGGTTCTCTCACCTTTATGAGCTAATTTTTATTGCACTTGTCAAAGTATAAAACTATTAGTTTTTCATAGGTTCATTGACACTCCTGGAGGTTGGGAGTTATATTTCATGAGTATTACTATCACAGAATCCACGTTTTGCATGTTGAATACATGAATGGAGATGGGGACTATAGGGAAGGTACAGATGAAACAAAAAGAATAGTTTCTTAACAGGACAGGCAACAAGAGACTTTGATGTCATATATGCAGATATAAAATGAAGCATGATAAATCCAGCAAGTTTGATTACTAATCAGTGAGTAAGGCTATTGAATGTCCAGGTGAAAAATAACAGATAAGATCAGAATTTAAAGGACATCAAAGGAATAAATCCTGGGAAAAGATAAGAAAGAAAATCAAAGAAAGAGAAATGTGTTGGGCTTTTTCATCTGACAGGAGTGCAGGGCCATTTAGAAACACTAATACCACATGAGGACAATTTATTTTGTTGCCAGAAAAGCTTGTTATCTTCTGCTCCGTGTGACCCATTGAAGTTGCAGGATTTCAGTAGCTACGCACTTAGGGCAATCCATCATTTTCAACCCAGCAGCTCCATCCTTACTAGCAAAGTGTGTGGCAAATTGTAAAAGAAACAAATAGCTCACTTGTGCAATGAGATACTTTTTCCCAAATGTTCCCTGAGATGACAATTTCTTTGGTGTATCAACCTGGCTTTTCCATTGCTCCTTAGAAGTGGGATATAGATATATCAACAAACATTTCCAATGTTTCTGGAAGCAATCAACATGAACTCTGCAGAAGACATGGCTCTCTTCTTTTGTTCCAAAACCATGCAGAAGAGCTGATAGGCTCAATTCTGTTACAGCAGAGAGGAGGAGAAAAGATTGAAAGTCATTTTTGTGAGTTCACTGTGGTGGGTATATATACATAATTCCACCATTAAGCTATATTGTGGCAGATTCCAGATTGCATAGTCCTAGTGATGACTGGTGAGACCCTTACAAACTGCGTACACAATCAGAACTTTATTTCAAGTCCAAAAAACATGGTCCTAAGTATTTAAAGCCCACAGGATGGTAGAGTTTCAAGAGAGGATTTTGTCAACTCTTCAATTTGCATCCCTAAATCCTTTCACTTGTGCTTCATCCTACTTTGGAGTAGCTTTGTTCAAGGTTTGGAGACACCTTCACCCTCACCCCCCATGGGTCCCCTCTCACATTCAATCTCATTTCTTCACCCTCCACAACCTATCCAGTGTTCATAATTTTCTCTAGGAGATAAAGGCTGGAGTTTTGGATCCTGGTAGTGGAAAAAATGTGGGTGCTCTCAAAGTCTCATAGTAGCCTGGCTTCCAGGAGGCAAAGTCTATTATGCTATCAGATAATACTGTTTTTCATGATGAATACTAATTCACTTCCAGCCTGTCTTCTGCCCTTTATCATGCTCAGAGATGACTATGTCCCCTCATGCTTTAAGGTCCTTCACCAAAATCCCTCTTCTACTATTTCAGGAAATGCCAAAGAGCCATCTATTCTGGATGCAGGTAAAAAGGTGATGCACCTTCTGTAGACAATTTAACAATATGATGAAATTTACTGAAAGTTAGTCTCCTTTTCACTGTTGCCCTGAGCCAGCAATTCTAAACAATGCCAGTAATGAAATACTCTTTCCTTTGGAGCACTTTCCCACTGCCTACATCCTCACCTCTCACATCACTATTGAAGAGTGCATAGAACTTCCTCAGAAAGAGGACACGATTCCATCAAGAAAGGTACATGCCTGATTGCTCCAAAACTGTGTAACTCACAGTATCTTGTATAATAGCTGCCATATGGTAGGTGCTCAATAAATACTTATTAAATTAAATGTTTATTTTATATGCAAGGATACCATAAGCAAAGGGAAGAAAATATGCAAAATAATTAAGGTTAAACTACGTTCAGAGAAATATATTGGAATTGGAATCCAGATGCATAGGAGAGTGTAGGAAGGGCAAGACAGGAAAAGATGGTTGGAGTCTTTCCAGGGGCTTCTGAAGGCCCCAAATTATTGATGAAGTCCTAACAAGAAAAAAAAAGCCATTTGTTAAAAATAAATAAATAAATTGGGTAAAATTAAAACCTAACATTTTGAGTCCTCCTACAAAATAAATGGATATTTTTTGCATTTTCTCTTTATATTTGATTTCCTTGAAATCCTGGCTTACTGACATACAATGAAAAAATAGAAGTTAGAATATTTGGCCTAGTTCCATGAAGATAGCTTGAGACCTCAAGTTGTCTGGGCTTATTAATATTATAAAATGTATTCCCAGAGATTCAAGTAGATTCACTCCCTCAGTCAAACAGAAACTACTTTTTAAAAAAGCAAAAATCATAACTTAATACAGTTATCCAAGTCCCCACTGCTGCATATATAAAAATGCACACATGTATATGCATGTATATGCATGCATACTAGTATATACATATATACACAAACGTGTGCATATATCTCACCTGTTTAGTTTCTACAACTTCACGATGAAATATCAAATGAACAGAACACTAAGAATAAGGGTTGTATTTTACCCTATGTCAAATAGTCAGAAATGCTATATATTTTAAATGGATTTCTTAGCATTTATATGCAACTCAAAGTTATTATGAAAGACTTGAGAATCTTAAATATACACCCATCCTAACTGTCTTTTTATGAGGGTGTATATGCAACACATTAGTGAATTACTTTCACATATTCAAAATTCTGTTGTATTTGAATCACAGTGAGGAGGATTTGAGGATTTTTGAGTTCACTCCCAAGGTATTTCCTTTGTTTTCACTGGTATTTGATGTTTAGTTCTCTGGGGTGTTGCAGGAAGAAAGGGCAGTTTAGAAAGACCCAACAGAAGCAGGCCTGTTTTATGTTAAAAAGCCAAGTCAATTTTGCACTTATGTTTCTGTCTGTGTTTTATCCTGGGGCCTTGGGGATGAGAACTATTTCAGCGCACTCTTCTATTCTCTGTGCTGGGGTCACAGAAGACCTTCAAATCAGAAATTCAGGGCTCCAGCAGTCTCACAGTAAATTTGATTAACCTTTACAGATTACTAGATAAATTAGATCATACTTTTGATAGATTATTTTAGGGTTTTTATATCATTTAGTAGAATTGAGCCCAGTCATTTTGGAAGCATACTCAAGCCCACCACCTTCTGTCTTATATTGGAGCTCAGATACCACTAAGAAAAATTGGAGGGCAAAAAAGATAATTACTACTTTTTTATTGAATTGATGTTTTCTTCTGCCTTATAAGCCTAACTTGAAATGGATTTTATTTTTTGCAATTCAAATATTGTCCACGAATATATTTTTCTTCATGATAAAGAATATATCAACGACATTTTAAATCATTAAATAACTCAGATTTATTGTTTTAGAGAATGTCTACCAAGCTTACAAACACATTTTCACATTTTGAAGAGTGAGAAACTGAAACTTGAACAGTTGGAAACTTCTCTGGGTTGTCAAAGAGTACTCTATATTTCCTACGCATGAACAGTCTTTGAGATCTGCAATGCTTTACAATAAAAGCCACTTTTGAATTAACTGAAACAAAACCATTCTTCTATGTACACTCATAAATAAATTTCCCAGATGTCTTAATCAGGACTCTTTTACTGTTGCTGTCATTTTGATCAAAATGACAATTCAGTCTAAACTGGCCTAAACACACACACACACACACATACACACAATCAATTAATCAACAAATGAAAGATTTAAAAGAAGAAAAGGGAAGTTGAAATTATTAGCTCAATTAACCAAAGCTTAGGAAGGCAGGAGCCTCATTCATGAGTAGAAGTGGTAGTTTCTCCTTCTGTCCACTCAGAAACTTTCCTCTAAGACTGGCTTTTCCCACGGGAATACTTATTCCTTTCCATGTATACCTCCTGGCCTCATGCACCCTCAGTTTTGTTATGTAAGAGAAAATGACTTGCCATCCACCATTTCCACCTTGAAAACTTGCAAATTAGGTATGTCCCAGATTGGCCCACCATGGGTCATGTAAATATACTTTTCTAGACCAATTACTTAGGCCAGGTTGGTAAGAACACATAAGAGAATGGCAGCTCCCGTGGGATAATTTTCAAAATAGGGAGGGAAGAACCAGTTTTCCAGAAGAGGTGAGATAAGTGACAACATAACCAAACAGGATAGAAATTCTGTGTTGGGAGCTATTTCAGTTTGGGTCTTCTAGCACAGGAAATTAATTTCATGAAATTGTTATTCTTGGCCCATTTGTGTCCTCTAG